AATTCGAGAGTGCTGAATCTTTCACCTCAGATATTTGTGTGTTGCTGTGCTGCAATATAAATATTGGCACTCATAGTTTGAACACTGGAAATAGAGAGCAATGATTTCATAATAAGATCCTTAGGGATCCTCCTAGCTAATATAACCAGATCCTTTGCAAACAGAAACATGGAACACTTTCCCTGTAATATCAATTCCTTAAGTAAATGTTAAGAAATTACAGTACGCTGTAACAGTCATGCATTTTGGTTAGATCTTGTTCCCTTGCGAGCTGCACCAGTTGCCAGTTTGCTCCCAAGTACAACAAAGGTGCTTGCTGTTAGCTATACAGCCTTTCCAGGGCATACAGCCTCACCCCATTTATTTTCAGAGTTTGTACTACAATCCTCCGTAATCCCTACATATCCTCAGATCAGTGGTGACAGCAACAAGGGAATTCATTATTATCCCACACCCTTCCCCCCGCTACTTAGACTTGGCAATTTTTGCTCGAGGGATTGCCTATCTCCCCTAGCACATGCCTGGCCAATTCAGTGCTGCTTAGTTGATGAGCTCTGGGTTTCTTCGATTATACAATGCCATCTTTGGGGCCTTGGAAGGGCACCTTCTCTATATCAGCACCTATCCTTTGGAACAAGGCACCCTCTGATATTCCAATGGACCCACTCTCCAGTTGTTCAGAAGAGTCTTAAAGAACTGGCTCTTCAACATTTTATTCCCCAAACTAGGAAACATCATCAATGCTAGTCAGAGTAATTTGTGCAATGAAATGTTTGCAACAAAACAGCCAAGCTCAGAGAGCACCAAGGATCCCTTATTTCAACTCTGAGCTACAAATTTTCTCCTTTGTTGGCTTCACTGAGGCCTTTGACAAGGGAGAGGAAGGCTCCTCACTTCATTGCATTTGGCATCTTTTTCTTGATATTTTATATTGTATTGATTTTACTGTAATTTCTGTTTGATTCTTGTAAACCACCCAGTCACTGAGAGTCAGGTGGCACACAAGAGTAATAAATTATTGTATTATTATTATGGTTGGTCACATAGAGGTTCAGATTGGCTTTGGCATTTTTATCCACCTATCAAGTCCTTCCCAAGGACCCAGGATAGCCAGATGTTGACATTTGATGGTATTAAAAGATATAGCCGCAGGATGTAAGCTCTTTCTGAATAAAGCTGCCTTTTGCATTTAACTGATGCTGATTCTGTCTGTGCTGATAGTGTTCAAATGATGCTAATATAACAACAACAACAACAATCTTTAATTCAATTTACAGCCTGGGACTGGTAAAAACTTAATAATTCAAGTCCTAACCAATTATTGTTGTTGTTATTATTATTTCCAATCACATGAAATCACAACTGCCAGTTCTTAGCTGGTGTTGGTCTTCGTTCTCATTGCGTTCTTCCCAAGAACATAGGCCAGTTCATGCCATAATCTTTCAACTTCCATTTTCAGATCCTAATAGTTACTTATATTTTCCTAGTTTTTGTCTTCTATTATCTCCTGCTATTATCACATCAATTATCCACATTCCCAACTTCTACAATTGCATCTATCAACTATCATATAATCTAATATTGAGCTCTTGCAATCTTTTGATACCAGTTATATGAAAAAGGTTAGAAAGAGAGAATGGGTGGTTTTAGTATTGTATGCTGCACTGTGCTGCCCTCTCTAGACTTAGTATAGATACTGGAACACTAAAAATACGGATAACTTACTTCTTCTAATGCAGCTAGATTATTATGATTGATTGGGTTATGTTGCTGTCCAAATACACTTGCAATAAATGTCTCTCTCTGTATTCCTGTCTCTCTTTCTCTTGCACTCATTCACACACACAACCTGCACACAGATCAAATGCAATATTGTTTTTAAGTAAGGGAAATGCATTTACAGAAAATGATATGGTTCAATATTAATTCTGTTATGCATGAATGAAATAATTATTAATGGCCAGCTATCATTAATCACAAAATAAACAAAATATTTCTAAAGAGGAAAGTTTGGATATTTTGCTGAGTTTCTGCATTTTCTCTTATTCTGCGTATTAATTAACATGTTTGCATAAATTTGATCTTATTTATTTCAGAAGAATCCTATTCTTCCTTTCAATACATGTATGAAGAACTCCAGGAACTAAGTACAGAGAACGTCTCACCCAGAGAAAGTTTGAGAAGAGAACTAATTTAAGCCCACCTCCCCCCTAAAATACTCTTGTGATAGTTCCAAAAAAGCAAATCAAGCTTATACACCAAATTCAAAACAGTTTGTCTTAAAATAAACCCCTTATAAAATTAGACACATTAAGAAATTTAGCTTTATTTCAAGAGGCAAAGAATCATGGGCTATATCTATGTAACTATTTTTGACGACATTGTTTTTACACCACTTTTTACTTCCAAAGGCAAAATATACAGACATTAGCAAACCTTTGATCAATACTGGAAAACAAGGGGTTATTTTGCAACTACACAGTCTTGCACACAAGGAAAGTTTTAATAAGAAATTTAGTTTATAAACCAATGAAACCAAATTTTCAGCTAGAAAAAGTTTACTGGAAAAAAAGAAATACAAGGAAAACAAGCGGAAGGCAATAATCATACCCAAATTTCAATAAAATCAAAGAAACTGTTTATCTAAAATAGTTGCTTTGTTATTTACCACTTCTTTGCATAATACCTCTTTAGCTTTGACAGAATTCATGGCAGAGGATGTGGTTGGAAAAAGATCCTACGGGCCTTGATGCTGCATTTCCCCCTCTTTCTTTTGAAAACCAGTTTCATAGAATGTGGAAAATAACTGAAAGCCAACTTTTTGGCTTGGCTAACTTAAGGAAAATGCTCCCTCTGATGTCCTGAGATAATTATCTAGGAGCTCCTCCAATGGACTAACTTTAATGAGCCTGACTGGAATGATAAGCTCTGTTTAGTTATGTCTTTGTAGTATAGGATGTCCTTGACTTTTTATCATAATTAAGATCATTTTTAAGCAAGGTGGTTGTTAAGTGAGTAATGTCTAATTTTACAACCATTTGCCATGATTATTAAGCGAATAACTGCAGTTAAGCGAATCAAGTGGTCATTTAGCAAATCCAACTTCCCCCGTTGACTCTGCTTATCAGAAGCTAACTGGTAAAGTCACAAATGGTAATCATGTGGCCCTGGAACACTGCAACCATTCCAAATACATGCTGGAAGCCATGTATTTATCACATGACCATGGCGGTGCTATGTCGGTTGTAAGTGTGAGGACTGGTTGTAAGTCACTTTTTGCAGTGCCATTGTAACTTTGAATGGTCACTAAATGAGTGGTTGTAAGCCGAGGACTACCTATAGGAAGTTCCACAGGAGAGAAGCAGGAGAAAATACAGTTCATTTATTCAATCCTCAGCAAAGATCCTCTTAAGAAGCTTTAGGAGTCACTATAATGCCCTGGGGAAATTTTATTCCAATGTCACAATCCAAACCCGGTTTGATCATTTTCAATTCAAGTGAGATAGAAGCAAAAACCTGCAGAGAAATTGTGGAGGGGGAAACGGTATTTTGCCCTCTCAAGGGTTCTTTTTGACACTGAAATCCTTAGAAAATGAAAGTTTTAGGTTGACTTATCTGCCTCTTAATCTTTTAATCAGCTGTATTTAATAGAAATGTATTTAATTTGCATATAAGTAATTTTTGCTTAGTAACCCTAATTGGGACCGCCCACTCAGTCACTAAACAAAGTAGTCACTAAGTGAAACCCCGGCTGCATTTATAATCTTACTTCAGCTTTCCTTTGCTTTACAGACCTGTGAAGGTTGTAAATGGAAGGATCAGGCATAAAATTATTTCTTCATCAATGTCATAACTGTGAATTGTGACTTACAAGACAGTTGCTACATGAGGCCTACCCATATTACCAAAAGCTCAATCTAGTGATGCTTCGATTAACTGTTATTGAGAAAAGCATGCTAGTTGCTATGTCTTGGCCAGCCAAGGCCTAACAGATATTTAGATTAAGCTTCTGATGTTTTTCAGGCCAAGAACATTTGAAATCCATACTTAGAATAATTATTGTATTACTTATATCACACTCTCATATACATACAAGCAACATAAAGTAACAAAGAAAACAACCTCCCTGTTGTTTTCAATGAAGCAGCTCATTGGCATTTGGACACAGAAAAGAAAAAAGAAAGAAGATGGGACCACCAATGTACATCCAGTTAAGTCAAGGTTAGTGTAATGTATGGTTGGGCAGATCACTCTATGGTTTGTTTGTTTTTTTACATCATTTTATCCTATCCTATTTCCGCATTAATCTGAAAATTTTTAAAATCTACTGCTTTATTTAGGTATGTATCTGTGAACATATAGGAAAGCAGAGTATGCAGTTCCAAATATGTCTTATCTCATGCTATGTATAAGGTTTATTGTAAAATATTTGGAAGCATGTGTGTATGTATGTATATGCACCTTTGCTGAGAGAACTGCACTGGAAAATTCTGAGATGTCAGAATGCTTACATATAATTGCTTTCCAATCTGCATAGTCAACAGATAAATGCAAATCAAGTCAGCTCCTTGTAAAATTTGCTTGGATGCCTCAATAATCCCTTTCAAGTAGGGCATGAAAACTACACTAAAATAATTAATTTTTGAGACCTACTTGAAGGAAATCATAGAAAGGGATCATGAAAAGAATGCATGGGAATTCTGGGACTTGTAGTTCAAGCAGTTGGAGTCTGAGGGAAAATAACATAGGGATGAACCAGTTTCAGTAATTAAGGGCAGCAAAAAAGAAAGAACAGAATCTTTAAATGTTACAAGCAGTCACTCATGTGTGAGTTGGGTGGCAATATAAATGTGCTTCATAAATATTAAATCTGGAAAGCAATAGCAAAACATAGGCTGCTCCTGAGCTTGTGGAGGAAGCGAAAGGAATACACACACACCCCTACATTTCAGGCTCCCTTTCACACTTCTGAGAAGCCTCATATATAAACTGAGCCTTACCTGGACTTGACAGGACTTTGCCTTTGTTAAGATGTTTGAGGCGTTTCTGGTGAGACTTCCCATTGAAATGGATCTGGGCCTGGACAGCCGAATTGAGCTGGATGTTACACACTTCACAAAGTGTGAATGATGGGTGCTTTTTCTCTCTCTTTGTATGCTGCTCTGGAGGACTTCCTTTGCACGAGTTCTCTGCCAGTCTTCCACAAATGCCACTCCCAGGGGAGTGGAAGGGGGTCAAGGGACGCTTCATCCCTACAGCAGAAAAAAAAAAAAGTAATGAAAACTTAGTAATGAAAAAGGTCATTGTTCTAGTTTTAACCTGCCTGGGTACCAGTAACCTGAGAACAAACTCCCAATAAGTACATATAAGCAGCCTCTAGATGGAGTAAACTGCCTGTACTTTGTTCATACTGTAGCTTAATTCAAGTATAACTGCTAGCAGAGTGTGCACCACAAGATTTACAGCATGTTTATTTCACTATTTCTGCTTCAAGAAAGAATTTCAATGCTACAAAGACAGAGCTACTTTTCAGGGATAGGATCAATCATTGGAGGGTAACTATTCTATTGATCCTCACCATGGCCACTTTTAAATGTCTAGCACGACCAACCAATAAATAATTTTTATTTGATAACCAACAAGCAAATAAAACAAGAATATCACAATTAATTAGAATAAAAAAGAAAAAAAAAACAGTATTCTAAAGAATATAGGAAAAGCTTAGAAGAGATACTACAGAGTACTGTACAAATTATAGAACACTCAATATTTATCTGTGGTCAAACAAGTAAAAGACTGAGCTGATAATCACAACTTAATATAAAACAAATTAAAAATGACCAGGAGATAATAATTCTTGGTCAATGTCTGCATAAAGGGGGCATGCAAAATAACTGATTTCAATTATCCCTCTAGTACACAGAAGCAGTCTCTGTTCAAAGTGGATTACAGGTAATCCTCAACTTATAATGATTCATTTAGCAACCATTCAAAATTACCATGGCACTAAAAAATGATATTTTTTTTTGCCAGTCTTCATACTTACAGCCACTGCAGTATCCCCAGGGTCTTGTGATCAAGCTTTGGGTACTTGGCAACCAGGGTGTATTTCAGAGGGTTGCAGCATCCCCCAGGTCATATCATCACCATTTGTAACCTTCTCAGGGGCAAGTCAATGAAGGAAGCCTGATTTTTTTTTTAACAACCATGTGATTTGCTCACAACCTGATCGAAAAAGGGTAGTAAAATTGGGCCCGATTCACTTAACAACTGCACCGCTTAGTGATAGACTTTTTGGTTCTAGCTGCAGTTGTAGGTCAAGGAGTACCGGTACAAGAATTCCCAGATTCATCAGTTGGATGTGAAGCACAATTCTGTTGTGGATGCTGGAAATATGGCTTACATATTTCTTTTACTGCGTCTTTGTTGGCTGACTGTGTGCCGGATTTTGTAAATTAAGAAACCGGAGGATTCTTTTTTACTTCAAGAGGGGGAAAATTCCCCATATGTTTGTCATTTCAAGTTTTTTTCTGTCTTAACTCAGTGCAATTCCAGTGTAAGGAAGCAAGATGGGAAGATTCATCTCTTTTCCCCTGCAGTTGTGCAGATCTTTTCGATATTCAAATAGGACATCATCTTTCACATATTAGAATGCAACCACTTAAAATCGGTACTGGATGCTGCTCTCATACAGTTGTTAACATTCACAGATGTCTAGAAATCTGGCTGAAAGCAGGGAATATGTTTTCCATACGCATTATACATTCACATAAACTAACAATCTATAGGATCCAAGCTGCCCAGAAGTATGCCTATTAGCCACAGAGCACTCAATGACAGTCATATCATGATGCCACAGAAAGGAAAAGGTGAAGGACATATCTAAACTTTTGAGAAGAAACCATGCAAAATATTAAAACAAGCCAACATTTCTATGGAGAACTTAATAAAAATGAATGAATTAAATATATATATATTTAACTCAGAACCAGTTAAAATGCCCTTGAAGAGGTTAAGTTTGTTATCCAGGGTACATCAGTTTTCTCTTACAACTTGCCAAGGTCTCAGATGACCTCTGACCCAGACATGTTATGAAGTGCTACTAAACTTCCAGTCCTTAGCTTACATTAACTGTTTTCCTGCAGATGACTGGTTTATTTTTAATACTGACAGAAATTAAAATTGGAAAGTTATCTGGACATAATGCTTCCAAAAGACCACTGCTCTCTAAAAAAAGGATATGTAGTCACTCATATTAGCTAAGCTTACCATCAGAGCTCCTGTTACAGAGTTTTAAATAAACATGCTATATTATGCATCCACTCCTCTCATTCACTTAATCTCTTTGGTGCCCATTAGTCCATCCTAGAAGACATGACAATTTCACAATCTGCCTCTCTTCCCAAACAGAGCATTGAATCCTTTGGGAGAGTGTTTACTGAGACGATGGTTACTATCATGGAGCTACCTACCTTGCAAAAGATTCGCAGAATTCTCTGATGGCAATGGAAGTGCTTTGCTCACAATGTGATTTTGGACAAGAAGAACTTCACTCTTGAGATCTAGGTGGTTTTAAATATCCCTCTCACTGTGGCTGCTGGAAATTATACATGGGACTTCCCTTACCTGGAGTTCTTGTCCTATACTGGGTTATATATTTCCTTCCCAAATATATACTGGTCATGATAGCAGAGAATTATGGTAGATACTTTCCAATACTTGGAGTATACAAGTATTACATTATAATACATCCATATCCATTACATTACATTCCAAGGATACCAACTTTGGAAATTCCTGCACATATTAATCCAATTCAGCAGTCTAGAATGCAATATCTAATGGAAGACCTATAAATACAAATGTATCTCTTGCTTGCCCATTTCCCCCCTTTCTTCTATTTCCATTGGAATCAATGAAAATTGCCATGGGCAATTCTTTGCAGTTAATATTGGTTTAACCAAGTCAACTGAAGACCTGATAGCTGAATTCATACAAGCGGCTAAGCTTGGTTAATTTTCACCTTGGTATTATTTGTTTTTTAATGTTTTGTATGAGCCCAGATTATTCAATCAGTCTATTATTTAATATATTGTAAAACTCAGAAATTAGGTTACAATAATTTAGGTCTTGTGTAAACTTAGTCCTTATTCATGATAAACAATATACTGCCTTGAAATTGTTTCTGGCATCGGTCATCTTTCAGAAATTTATGAAGTTAAAATCCAACCTTACTTACAATAATCATGGACAGACCTGCAGAAAAATTCAAACATAAATTAAATAAAATTTAATAAGACAATGTCACTGAAATGATCAAATTCATTTTTAAATGGGCTACTGAGACCAAAGCCCTGTGCCAGATGTTTCACCACTTTTACTCAAGAATTAAAGGATGTCATTCTGTAAATGTTTGTTTATTTGTATTTGATCATCCATTTACAGTGCAACATTCAAATATAAAAAACTTGGGGCAGTTATGGATGTTCCAAGCAGGTTTTTTTTTTCTTTCATTCCTAAATCAAGAAGGAAAACATTTCTGTCATGTGACCTTAAATGGCTTGGGCATAAAAAGAAAAATACAAAAAGAGAAAGAGAGGGGGTGAAACTCTTCAAGTGTCAGAAATCATATACAGACGATCTTCACAAAGCACTTTAATATTTTACAAGGACCTGGTTTTCAAACTTGGCAAACATGTAGCTGCAACTCCTAGTCTGTAATGCAGCCGCATAAATATAATACCAAACACAAGTATTCACTCTGGACTTTTAATGGCCATCCCCAAGAACTGTATAAGAAAGGGACTCCATTTCATTTCAAGATCCAAGAATCTAAATATGTTTGGGCAAGTCTTCAACTTTATAATTAAGCCAAAAAGGATTCCATTTAAAAATAAAATTGGAATTTTGACTACTTTCCCATCTATCAACCTGCCCTGCAATTGCAGAACCTAGTTACTATTTGGATGTATTATTCTCTATCTGCTTTCTAGGCAGTAATAACATTCATTATTATCTCTTGCTCCCCTTATCACTTCTCAAAACTGGACACTTATGAGCAGCTACAAGGAATCTTTTTGTCCCTTTATTAAAACAGGCAAGCATATTAGAACAGCTATTAGTATTAATTTTTTTTAATATTAAATGTTTTAATTGGCACAGCTAAAAATTTTAACCGCTTATCTTAGAATTAAAACAAACAGAAATCCAATCCAAATCCATATGACAAGAATTTAACCAAACAGCTATTTTGCATTGCTGATATATATCATTCCTGCTATTCTTAAAATATAGAAGCAAATGTGGATTTTTATGCCATCCTAAAAAATTACCACATACAAATAGAGACAACAGAAACAATCTTTGAGAAAGTCAAAAGTTTGCAAAAGTATCATCCTCTTCCCCACCAAATCCCAGAAACAAAAGCAAAACCTTTTAGTTAAGTCAATACAGCACAAAAAAATCAGGACAATCCAGTTAAAGTAATCCATGCTCCTGGGGCCCACAATGCTGACAATAGAGTAGAAAAATGGAAAACTAGATGGAGTAACTTGGCTGATTATAACACAGAAGAGGAGTCATCCACACGTCAACAATTTATTTCAGGCTCCATTAGTTTGTATGAACATCTAGGAATGTCTGCCATGTGAGAAAGTGATAAACGGTTTAGTGTGTCATCGCTCACTCACTTTAAAAAAAAACCTTTTGAACAATTACAACTAATTCCCTTAAGTATTAAGCCTGGATAGGCAATTTGTGAATTCATGTATCAATCTCAACATCTATTTTTTTTTTTACAAATGATGCATCTATATAAACTAATCTGCATAAATACTCACAAAAGCAAATTACACACTGCCCGAAGATCTGCCGTTGTAGTGGTTCAGTTACCAGTACTTTCTTTTTTTCTTCCAATGTCTCTAACAGTGTGGTAAATATTTCCCCAATTCTCCAATTACAATTCATTTTAAGATATTTGCGCATACACAGTCCTGTGAAGTAAGAGACTTTGGGAATTACAACGCACTCACCACACAGGCTAACAGTAAATCTGAATATGGTAAGCAAGCTGTCAGGAAGGGAGCCTTGCCACCTCATTAATAATTTTCTAAGGTCATTTTTATGGCCCTCATAATACACTCCATTACCTTTCTTTTTTCTATTTTAATCTTAATAATGCCATAAAATACAATGCTACCAATTTCTTTTAAATAAAAATAGAAGGAGCAGGTGCACAATGGCAACAAACA